GATATTTCTCTTTAGTTTGCTCAATCAGTTCTATCTCCCTTTTGTGTATAGGAATTTTAATCGACTTATTTCATTCTCGAGGCATTTCTTTGGCATCCCATACTTCTAGTATTAGCTCACCAAGTTGGTTTATTAAGGTCTCTCCCCCATATTTCATGTTCTCTGCCACAATTTGCCACAAACCTCCACGGGTTTTTTTGGTTTTTTATATCTTTTATTATTTCTTCAAATTCTTCCCTTGTGGGCTTTGGTATTTCTTCTATTACTACTTGAGGTTTAAGAACATAATAATTTTCTTCAGTAGTCACTCCGTCATTTAGCATCTCTTCGGAATATTCTTTCCGCCTTTCACATATTTGGTCTTCGTCGACTATCCGGTTTCTTTGCTTATCTTTTATATTCATTGTTATTTTCTGATACCCAGTTTTAATGTATTTTACTTCTTTATAAAAATTTTTTATTTCATCTTGTAATTTTCTTCAATGTGCTTTATTTCATCATCCATATACTTTCGTTTCAGCTCCCTTAGGATCGATTATCTTTACTTTTTTTCGTTATTCGGTATAACTTTCTAGGTCGTCTAGTTTTGATTAATTTCTTATAAATATTATGGAAGCATTTTGCTGCTTTAAATGATATATAAAGTGCTAACTACTAATGCTAACTGATATACTAAAGAGGAAGTTATTAATAAGAAAATACCAGTATTAGTAAGTCAGTAACATATAGAGGATACATCATTTATGTTTTTTAAATAACGTAACATATAAAATCAGAATTTTGATGTTTGTTGAAGGTAAACTAAATTCCCTCATAATTTACTATGGAATCACTAACAGGAGAATTTAACTGTCATCATGTCATGTGTTTGTCTTTTTAAAGACGAATTACATGCTATGATTTTTTTCTGACGGATATTCTCAAGTTAAAGTTGATTTCATGTAATCGAATGAACTATCTTATAAGTAAAGTCGTCCCAGGAGCGCAACTCAACAATATTGGCAATATCATTTTAAAGTCGTCTATTTTAAAATGCATAATGTAGGTATGTCTGAATTGCCAATATAAATGAGTCAGATAAAATTAAATTATAGAAGAATTTTTCACTATGTAACAAAAAACAAAATTTGTTTAATTTACTGTTTGTATTTTGAGAACGATTTCCGAAGTGGAAATTGAAACGTCAATAAACGTATTTTTATCTTTAATTCTGGCTTATTCCCAGTTTAATAGTAATTAATTTACAATGTAACTCAATGTCTTGAGTAATCGGCCAATACTACCACGTGAGGATTTATACCTTGCATTGTTAACGAATCTTGTATCTGCCATTCTACTGATGTCATTATTCCATTTTTTTCTCTATTTAGTTTCGACTAAATTGAAAAAAAAACTAGATAATGGAGGAGAGACTCTTCAGTGCAAAGTTAGCCCCCTGATAGAGTATAAATATTTCGCTTATAGAGATAGGATTATGCCTCGGAACAGGCGAATTTAGGAAAGATAATAAAGCAAAGACATTGTTAAAAGATGGTAATATCAACTATGAAACCGGGAAACGATCCATCGTAATCTTACAGCTAATATAATAATTTAATTCCTACGCCTCTGCCTTTGTATGAATTGATTTTGTTTCCAGATAAGACAAACGGAATTTGAAAAAAGATGAAAGTTTTTTTCGTTGTTGTCATATGTAAATAGCTACTCTCACTCATTTATAAGAACGATATTTATGATCAAATCTGGTAAATAAATTACCGATTGCCAATTTTATTAGTAGTTCGTGTGAACATCGGTGAAGAAATTTGTTGCTACATGAAAATCGGACACCTATTCTAATATAAGCGAATAAAATAATCTATTGAGGAAAGTTATTTATATTCAAATACATTTAGTATTGCTTCTGTAATCTAATGTATTATCATATTGACAGGAGGAAATAAAAGCTGCCTGGAATAAGGTCTCTACACATTTAAAAAGGATGTATCTTGTCATCAATATTGTTTAGTATATACTCAAAATATTTATTGAAGGCAGCAGTAGCAACATATATCAAGGATAAAATCAAAATAATGGTTCAATAACTGTGAAGTTTAATCGCCGCTCTAAATACTACTGCAGCTGCTTGTGAATTCAAACCATTCTCTCAATTTTTTAAGCCAGGATATATTCTACAATTTGTTTTCCTCAAATATCATCTGGCGTAATTAGTTTGTCTTTTGATAATCAATTTTACCTGTCTTTTCAATTGCCTGTGCTTCTAGTTACCTCCATCTTTGACATTCCTTAAATCCATGATATTCGTAAGATGCTTTAACAAATTATCGATGTAAGAGATTTAAGATCTTCAAATATGAGAGAAACAAGAGGTCTGCACGAAGTACAAAACATTAAATACTCCAGAATCCCAAGACACCTATAGAAGAATTCGAAATTAAACAAAGCAGTTGGTAAGAACAAAAAATGAACACTGATAACAGTTTACTAAAAGGATGGAAAGCGAATGCTAGGGTACATAAAAAATATGAAGATTTATAAGAAACCAACCGAAAGAAATGCAAAATTAAAGAAATACAATAACATACTTCCAAACAAATGGAAAAGATACCTGATGGAACTGTTTAAAGGAAAGGAATATAATAATCAACACAATAACGTACCTGAATTAGGACATAAAATAGAAATCAGTTTTCAGGAAGTACAGATAGCCATAAAAGTAAAACGGCAGCAGAGCTTCTAGCGCAAAACAGCTCATTTTCCCGTGTAAATCTCCATAAGAAATTCTAAGGTCGATTCTGGTAATTTTTGACGCTTTTTTGGTGGAGGCGCGACGCTTCATCGGATCGTGACGTGTATGGTATCGTTGAAAAGCGGTGGGGACGGGGAACACGTAAAGCTGTTCAAGACCTGTTCGGGACCTAATCAAGACCTGTTTAAAACCTAATCAAGACCTAATCAAGACCTGTTCAAAGCCTGTTCAAGACCTAATTAAGACCTAATCAAGACCTGTTCAAAACTTGATCTAAAGCTGTAAGGAGGATACCCACGATGAATAAATATTTGAAAAGACATTTTATAACGAAAAGGAGAAACATCCAAAGTAAATTAAGACAATTAAAACAAGCACAAATAATTCAAGAAGATTTGTTTTCTTTATCCTCAATGACCACAGTCTTCATTTTTACCATTTCGTCGCATCGACAGGCGCCGGTAACCCCAATTAACAAAACAATCTGAAATATTTTTATAATTTAATGGAGTACACTACATGCTTTGCAATATAATTTTTTTTACCTTTAGTCCTAAATACAACTTATCTGGCGCTTCAAATAAAAATGTATCAACTCGTCTTTAGTGAAAACTTTAGACTTCTTTGCAGTATATCCTTCGCTTGTTTTTTTTTCAGAAAGGCACGTAACTTTCAAAATTTGCTTATATTCACATTTTTTCTAACTAACTCGGATTTTATCATAGAGTATCGTGACCACATTGTAGAAGATCTCCATTTATTTTCATTTTCCATTATATTAAAATATGCCAGTAAAACGTCTTCGGTAACTTGCTGTACTCCTCTTGTATCGCACCACTCATGGAAGTGCTTGTACGCTAACCGATACTTTATTCCGGACTTGGAGGGCCCCAAACTTGCTACTGCATCATTAGCCGCGGATTTAATTTGGTTTAGGTTTTCCATTTTCGCACTAAATTTGCTCTTGCGGTTGCAACAACAATAAGCTGTCTTTATTAATTGCAAACAACTGTCAAACAACTGTAACCAGGGAGACGCAAATCCCACCGACGCTTTAATTATTTTAATTTCTAACATCTAGACGACTTTGGTAGTTGTCACAGTTAATTTCGAGTAAAAATAGCCTCACTTCGTTCGGCGCGTAATATCGGGCGCGTCAAGAAAAGTCATGCTTCTCCGCCTTATAAAGTAATATACCATTTCTTGAAATAAAATAAAAAAACAATTCATGCGTGTACTTAAATTACCTAATCATCATCATCAGTGGTGCTACAGCTCTAGTTGAGCCTTGACCTTCCCCAGTCTATTTCGCCAGTCGTTTCTGTTCATCGCCAACCGTTGCCAATTTGCCGCGCCGATCTTCCTTGCGTCCTCGTCCACACCGTCCCTCCATCTCAGTCGTGATCTGCCTCTACTCCTATTTCCCACTGGGACCGATAATAGAGTTCGTCTGGGTGGGTAATTTTCATTTGCTCTTGACACATGTCCAGCCCATCTAAGCCTACCTATTTTTATGAAGGATATTACATCTCTACCATTTACTATTTTTTTTATACTTCTCGTACAATTCGAAATTATATCGCCTTCTCCAAATACCATTTTCACAGAATGCGCCCATTATTCTTCTTAGTATCTTCCTTTCGAAGACGAGCAGAAGATTTGCGTCTGTTTTGGAGATGGTCCATGTTTCTGACTCATATGTCAGCACTGGTAGGATGAGTGTTCGATATATTATTAGTTTGGTTTTCTGGCTTAAATTCTGTTTTTTAGCTGCTTGCTTAGTCCAAAATAACATTTGTTTGCTAGCAGTACCCTCCGTTTAACTTCTTCAGATTTGTCATTATCGTTTGTTATGAGAGAACCCAAATATGTAAACTTATTTACTACCTCAAAATTATATTGGTCTATACTGAAGTTTTGTTCAGCGTTTGTAGCTCTATCTCTGTTATTTGGAATAGATGCTAACATTTTGGTTTTTTCCTCGTTTATTTTAAGGCCCATATTTTGTGCGGCTGTCAAGAAGGTGGAAGTCATCTCTTTAAGTCCTCGTGTAGTACGTGCGATCAAATCCAGATCGTCAGCGTAAGCCATAATCTGCGTTGATTTATTAAAGATTGTTCCCCTATTGTGTAACTCGGCATTCTTATAGTCTTTTCTAACGCTAAAAAAAATTACTTAATAACCCATTAAAATATTATAAAAATAGGAATGTTTCTAAAACGTGTATTAAACCAAAAATTTTCATTTTCAGGTGGACTAAGTACAACAGCAATGGTCAAAATCCAAATTACAGACATCAATGACAACAACCCGATTTTCTATCCATCAGAATACAACGTTTCGCTTCGAGAAAGCGGCGTATCCTCATCTGCTACCAGTCCAGTCGTTGTAGTCGCCGCCACAGATTTGGATTCAGGAAAATTCGGCGCTATCACCTACAAAATAGTCGCCGGCAATGACGCCGACCTTTTTAGAATAGAAAAAACTACGGGGGAAATATTTATCAACAGACCCAGTTTATTATCTGCTAGAGGACAGCCGTATCACAGATTAAATATCAGTGCTATCGACGGAGGGAATTTAAAATCCATCAAAGACGCTGAAGTTTTCATCAGCATTATCGACTCAGCTCAGAGGCCTCCTATATTCGAACATACCCGATATACCTATACGGTTAGTGAAAATGTAAGGAAAGACACTGTTATTGGAAATGTTAAGGCGACAGTGTTCAATAATGGTAAGTTTCTGAAACTTTTAATACTTTTGATATTGAAACCATTACTAACTAATTTCTTAGTCAATAATTGTTACTTCTCACTGTAAGCCATAAATGCAGTATACTTGCTTCAAGGGTTTATTGGTTAACTTTTGGAAGTAGAAAGTGAAAACGCTGTAAAGATAAAATTTCCAAATTTATACATCATTCAGTTTTTTTTTATAAATAACTAATGGGCCATAAATTTATCGGATATCTAAAAAGGCCCAGCAAATACACAAATGTTAAAAGATTATAATTTCTTTCTATTCTATACACCCATGCACCTTAACATTACAAACGCGAAGTTTTGAAGTCGACAGTGTATGACAGTGTATACTTGGTTCGTTGGTTCCTTGGTTAAATTTTGACGAAATGTAACTGGCTACAAATTACTATACAACCACGCACACGTATTTATAGCCAATATTAATTGCTTAACATACAAATTTTAAAAAATATTACATACCGTTTAGTAATAAAATAAATCTGTCAATTAAAACCATTACATAAAGGTTTACAAGTTTATTTTTGAAATTTTATTAGTCGCTTAGAAATTAGTGTCATTTTTAATCAATCTTCTTCTGCTTAAGGTGCCTTCTTTATTACTAAGGGTTGGCTATAACTACAGCAAATTGCTCTTTATCTTGAGCTGTTCTTAGTATCGAATGCATGGCCATGCATATCCAGTCTCTTATATTCTTCAACCAGGAGCATTTTTTTCTTCCTGGACCTATTCTTCCTTTCACTTTAATGCCATTAATTAATAATTAATTAATATATAGACAATGCAGAAGTTAAAATGGTTACCGATTAACAACAAGGACCAAGAATTTACTTTAAGCAGGCACTAAATATAGAGGAAGAAGAAGAAAACCTAGATGACGAGGGAGATAAGATAAAGTAAGTGGACCAGAGAAAAGAGGAACCACCAACGATTCTTGAATTTAAAGTTGCAGTTAAAAGACTAGCCAGAAAAAAATCACACGGAATAGATAATCTTCCAGGTAAACTATATAAAGAAGGTGGCCATTATACCATAGTGCCATTACAGTAGCTTATAAAAGAAATATGGACACAGAAATTCCTCCCCAATGATTGAAATATTAAAATACTTTGGCCCATTCACAAAAAAGGAGATATCTGTGAATGCTCTAACCACAGAAGAAATTAAGTTTCTAAATGCAGCGTATAAAACATTTTTCATAGTACTATGTCATCATAGTATTGGACCATAGGCAGAACGGATAGTAGGAAAATACCAGGCTGGTTTCAGAGGTGGTTAATCGGCAATTTATTAGATTGCAACCCTGAAACAAATTTTAGAAAAAATACCGGAATATGACATTGATACTCATCACACATTTATAACAAAACAGCGACTCTGTAAATAGAAGCGAAATGTTCAAAGCAATGAAAGAGCTAGGAATAACAATTTACCAAGTAAGTTGGTAAATTTAACAAAAATAACTCTTGAACAAATTGAATGTAGTGACCTTCGCTCCTATATACTGTTCAATCTGGACCTGGAAAAAGTAAAACGTATATCACAAATCACAACATTGGTTCAATATATAATAAATCAGTGCAAATCCTGGCCTATGTTGATAATATCAATATTGTTGGGACAACGCTGTACAAGAGGCGTATGTAGAACACATGGTTGAAAGCCAGGATGATGATGATGATGATGATGATGATGGTATACTGACAAAAGGACGCGGAAAAAAGGACGCGCGAAAAAAGGACGCGTGGAAAAAAGGACGCGTGGAAAAAAGGACGCATATTATTAATGAAATACTATAAATAGTGTATTTTAATTGAAAATTGCAATTACACCCGTTTATCCCCTATATATAATTACAGAAAATGATTCTACCTAACCTAAAATCGGTTACGTAAAAAGTGAATAATATTTATATGAAAAAAACTTGCCTTCACACTTTATCCAGGCTTAGGACTGGCAGCAGAAGCTGGCGTGTTAACAAGTTTTTTTTTTTATTTTTTTTTTTTTAATTTTTTGCTTTTTTTTCGAATTTTTTTGTCATTTTATTATTTTTTTTTTTGTTTTATTTTTGATATTAATTTTTTTTGTATTTTTTTATGTTTGCAACTGAAAATTGTGAGCAATGCCTCTCAAATATTCTAAAGTTGGCCTGTCAGCATAATCGGCAACAATAGCCCTTATCCTGTTTGCTGTATCTTGATAATTTCTTTTGCGTGGAGGTACATTGCCCGAAATGTACTGCTCTATTTTCAAAACATTTAAATCATATTCTTTTTTTAGAGAATTAATAAATTTCCAAATATTCGGATGTGCACTATTGAGAAGAGAAGAAAAGCTGTTATGTCATCCTTCGACAGCATTATTAGTTCGAGGTATATCTTGGTCTGCCAAATCGTAACAATTCCATACATTTGCTGGAAAAAGGGGTTGTCTTCGATTTACTCTTCTAGCTAATCTCCCTATCCAAGTGTCTTCAAAGTAATTAATCAGCGGCACTAGTAGTTCTTCATTTTGTGTATAAAAATCGCTATTGAGCAACTCCTCGTACACTCTGACTACATGGTTGTGTGGAACAAACGCAAGAGCTGTCAATTGTCTTAGGTGAAGTGATATTTATTGACATATTTTATACAATAACTTTAAAAATAAAGTAATAAATTCTTATAATACAAATAATACTGCTTGTATTTTGCTATTCTAAAGAAAACACATCTCACACATTCTTCTTCTTCTTATTTTTTTTGGCTTTTATTTTACAGAATAATCAGCCAGTACATTTTGTTTTGTTGATTTTTGGGCCACTGTCGTTAGTCTAAGAATATATCTCATGTCCTATTATCAGTGAGTATAGACATTTCATCTACATATTATTTATGTTTTCTTATAAATGGTTTAAATATTAATATTGGATAGGTTATTATGAAGTTTATAATTTTATATAGTTGATCTGGAGGAATCTGAGAAGAATTTTGATAATTTTAGGATTAATATCGCATAGAAGCATCGGTATTTTAATTCATCATCATTGGCTTTTACAACTCTTCGTGAGTTTTTGCCGCGTTTACTATTGCCTTCCATTGATTCCGATCCTGTGCTATTATTTCTCATGGCCTTACTGCCATCTTTTCCAGGTCTTCCCTGACTGCGTCTTTCCACCTTTTTCTAGGCCTTCCTGTCGATCTTTTACCATCTGATCTTTCCCAAAACACATTGCTAATCAGTCTGTCGTCATCACTCCGTACCACGTGGCCTGCCCATCTTAATCTATTGGCTTTTATGTATCTTACGATGTTTCCTTTCCCGAAGAGAGTCTCTATTTCATTGTTGTATCTGCTCCTCCATTCATTTGTCACGCTGTCCCTGCAAGGACCATATATAATTCGCAGGATTTTGCGTTCCCATACTAATAGCTTATTGATTTCTTTCTTTCTCAATGTCCATGTTTCACTTCCATATGTCACTGCTGGTCGTATTATGGTTTTGTATATTTGGATTTTGGCACGCCTTGAGAGAAGCTTTGACCTCATTAGATGTTGAATGGCAAAGAATAATTTATTTTTTGGTATTTTAATGGGGGTTTTAATATTAATTTTAATCAGTTCTTGATAGATATCATAATCTTTTATTTTGTTTATTGGTCATTCCCAAAATACGTGTTCTAATGTCTCCATTTGTCCATATTCACAGTATGGGTTATCGCGAATGTTGATTATATAAAAATATACTCCTGTCAGGCAAAGACGAGTCCTCATTTTAATAATGGTAGTAATATGCCCATATCTATTTATGGGATTGTGTCAAACCATGGTTAATTAGGAAAAAAATTTTGTATGCTGTTATACCACTTACATCACAATCTTTGCTTTGTATAGCTCAATAGTTTGTCAACTATTTCGTTTCCCTCGATATCATTATGTCCAGAAATCCAACATAATCCAATATCTTTCCCATATTTATTTAAATATTATAGTTTTTTTAACTTCCAAGATTCTGTAGTCTTTTGTCGCACTTACCATATGGTTACTAATTTTGTCTAGAGTCCGTAAATATTAAAGCTTTACCAAAATTTATTTACTCACAAATCACTAGACCCTTTTGAATAGCTATAATAAGTTAAAGCTACTTCAAGATAATTTGTTTTTGGTCTTTTAAATGACAACGGCTATTTAGTGTGCCGTTTACCGATTTACCTACTTTTAATGTTTTGACGACGGAAGTAATTATGTCTAGGTGTGACAGTAAAATCTGTAATTTTCCAATTGAAAGGTAACCTAAGGCTATCTCAAACGAGAATTTGTACTGTAATTGATAATCAATAATATTTAGAAATCTATACATATATGGAGACTCAAAGTCAAATATAAATACATGGTATACAAAATCATGGAAAAAAGACGAGTTCCATGTTTATTAGACAATACCGTAACAGAACCTAAAAACTGAACGAAACTGAGCAAATTTTGTGTATAATCTGTAAATATTGCGGAGTTACTTTACCTTAGATAAAATGTAAATCTATTGAAATGATATATAATGTCTAGTCTACCATTTATTAAGGACTGTGGCTATACTTTATAGCCTTATTCTGTGAAAATTGATATCTCGTTGAGTTCAAGGATTCTGATTCTATTGAAGGTCTTATTTTACGACCGTTTTATTACTCATTTGCAGTTTCATTATCGACAAACGTTCTAAATAAGTTTTCTTCGATCAGTGGCGTTTCATTGAAAGTTTTTTTCATGACTTGTCATCCTCATCCATAAGACAAAATTAGAGTGTATGGCCAAAATATTAATAAAACAATATTAAGTGAAAATCGAAAAAAAAAACAATAATTTTTAAGTAAACAAAAAACCCGAAAAAACTTATGTCAAAAAACTTCAGAAATGACTTTAGGTAGTCGAATGTCTGGTCTAATAAGGCAATAATATTGGGTGATTTTAACACTCAGAGTAGGCAGAATCATGTAATACCCGGAATTATGCAAAAACATAAAGAGGATGTTAAAAACGAAAATGGAGAATTGACAAATGTCTCAATATTGATAGAACTCGACATCAA